TTTATTCCTTCAGAAAATAACGTATTTGTTGAATGACACCACCTACTTAGTGATTTACCAGATAACCACACAAGATACATTAGGTAAGCACTCAAATTATTTTTATATAACAAAAGTAAAAAGAAATTTTCATGTTGCAAATGTTTCACTATGCATTATTTTTTTGAGGCCATGATTTAAAGAGTGTAAAACTTAGAAAGAAAAACATTCTGTTAATATTCTCACTAAATTTAAATGATTCAAATCAAATAATACTAAGCTAAACAATGTCCTTACTTTTAAAATCTGTTTCTAAAAGCTGTATTTTTCAATCAACTCAAAGATGATCTGCTTCATACTATTAACTGCCAAACTTTAAAAAACTAAATATTCTTTGTTACAGAGCAGATTACAATACATGTTTTCCATACTCTTATAAAAAACAAGATTCTTATATACCTAATGAATCTAAATCAAAATCCACAAATGGTAGCTGAAATTCTGTCAACTTTCAGCTTTATACGACATAAATCCACAGTTATTTTGCATAAACAATTCAAAATTGAAGTTTATAATGGAAATGTCAACCAGTCCTAACTACAACATTCCCACTGACGGGGTCTACGATACTTCCACCAGGCACAACAGATGTGCGCACATGACAGACAGACTGCTTAGAAAATTAAAGCTATCAGAGCTATAAATAAGGAATACATAAATATGAACACAGCAATGCCAAAGCATTAGAGCTGTTAAAGGAAGGTAAGATGTGGTGTAAACACAACTGATAGTTCTCTCTGGAAGCCACTTTCCACTGATTCATAAAGCTATGGTTTGGTAATTCTTTTAAAAAGGAAAATGTTTCTACACGGCTGCATGCAGCAATTTCATTGTACGTTCTTGACTGCAACGTGATCTTCAGTCGTCTGGCAGAGCCTGACAAACCTCATCAGGATTTCTTCAGAAAGTCAGCTTGTCATATTTTCAGCGGCCTAGAACAAGAAAGTAAGATTCATTATAACAAAACCATGGAACGAGAGACATTGTGGAAATAAATTTGTCAATACTGCACTGTCATTAACAGACAACTCCTCCCCCATGTATACTAAATAACTCTCATCAGAATAATGCAGTGGTTTTCACTTTTTGCAGTCCATTACTAGAACTACCATTTGAACTGACTGCTAGGCTAACAGCAGAAAACTTGTACATAATCTTAAATGTTCGTTAATGTAAAAACATACTGCTACTGGAAAAATTTAACTTACAGAAGATCTTATCCACATGGTGGTCTTAGTTTGTTTCCATATGTTTCATTACAGTGTGAAAAGGAGTTTAAGAATGAAAAAGACCTGTGATGTTGCAAGGTGAAGAAAAAAGGGCAAAAGAGTAATAATAAACACATGGCTAATTCTGCATCACCTAAACCACCAACCCAACTGTTTATTTTCCCTAATTATTCTGTAGAAATTCCCAGACACCATTATCATTCATCGGTTTGTGATTTGGTATGTATTTCTAAAAGGTAAGGATTTAAACAAGCAATTTCTTAATGCCACATATGGAAATGTTGAGTTTAAATAAGTTTAATTTTAGAAATACATGGTAAATTTTTCATTCATTTACATTTCAACTTCCTAATTAAAACTTGCTTTTTAAAGTTCAGTCTAAGTTCAGAGGTCTTTCAAGAAAATCCCTTGAGATACTGGGAAAATTGTAGGTAACTAAATCAGAAACAGTCTTGTCAACACACATTCTCTCTTGTTTTCCTATATGGCTGGCTATTTTAAATTAGCCTTTCCCTTCTTTGGGCTTACTACTCACGAGAATAAGAACCTAGTTTGAAAAAATTTCCCCTTGTTCAAAAAGGTTTCTTCCTTCTTTTGATCCTTATGGGTTCCTATGTTAGCTCTAGTCACACACTCTGGAAGCACTGTCTTCTTCCTAACCCCATTCTCAGTATCCTCCACTACAAAGATGAGCTACTAAACACAACTTTAGGATTTTTTAAAAAATTAAAATACTTTAACTTATAATGCAGTTTTAATTTGTCTTGTCCCATTCCATCTTCATACTAATTTTAGATGTTCCCCTCCAAGATACAATGCAACAAGTGTTTTCACTTTAAGTAAGCCATCAACCTGCCATCAATGTTACATGGGTACAGAACTACTTTCCAAGTGAAAGGACAGCAGTGGCATCCTGGAGATCTCCACAGTGACTGGTCAGCCTTAAAGACACCAGAAATGTGTAAGCGTCAGCTCTGGGAGAAACCAACGTTAGCAGTCTTCTCTTCCATGTTTTCCTTTTCTGTGCACGTTTATTTCCTCCTTTGGGTGGATGGGTGGGGACATGGGACTGATTTCATCCCTCATGTCTCTGCCAACTACAAATTCTACAGCTCCAACATCCTCGTGCTGCAGGGAACCTTCATACACAGTGAGAAGGCACATTACCCATCCTAAGGTATCAGTGATGGTGCCGGCCAGCCACAAAAGGAGGGGCAAGGAATACATCAACAATAGTGTAACTCAAGGCACCACAGCATGAAAGTAGAAGATACAGGAAACTAGGTTCTGTGCAGAATTTCTGAAATCACAAGATGTAAACGACTGTTTAAATATAAATACTAGCACTGAGAAGACCATACAAAAATATAATGTTGATAAAAGTATCATTCATAGAAAAGAAGTCTATTTTTTTAAATGCACCCAATTAATCCTATTTATGCTGTGAAAGATACACATAAGGCGACCTATCTATTGTTGTTAAGAAATTTATCTAACTGGCCAACACACGACTAGCTATGTTTACTATAAATGATTTAAATATAAATATGTAAACCTGTGAAAGACAAAGTAACAAACAAAATTGTTATAATCTGCATAGTTAAAGAACAAAAGAAAAAACTGCATGTTTCCGACCAATTCCTTTCAGTGTTTCTTCATGTCCTCAGTTTGTCCTCAGTCTAAAACAGAGACCAGTACCATACAGTTAAATTCTAACTACTAAGGATTTCCAGGTAAAGACAGTAGAATGCAGCAAGAAGAGTTTCTCTTTACCCTACTTTTCATACCCAAATAAACAAAAAGTATGAGAAAAAATTCATGAGCAGCATCCACACAAAAAAAGAGAGAACGACCTTATGTGTATAAAATCTGCGAGGGGAGGGGGCGGTTAAGGAAAGGCAGGTGTGGCTCAGTGCAGCTCTGAACCAACCAGCCCCCATCCCGACCCAACAGCAGCAGTTAAGAGAGAACAGACTTTGTTAGAGAGAGAGGCAACCTGAGAAAGGTTACTCTTTTTTAATTCAATGAAATCAAATTAAAGGATAACGTTTCTGTTTTCAAAGTAGCATGAGGCTATCCAGAATGGTGTTCACCACACATTATCACCGGACATTTCTTGTGTGATCTTGAATGAATTTTTGTCTCCTCCTTTGTATTTTCTAATTTAAGTATTTTAAAACTATGAGCATGTATTTTTATAAACATTATACAGATTTCAAAAATTCATTTAAAGAAAGCAAGGAAAAGTTCTAATTAACATTTCTTCTTTGCTGGCAGCTCTTCAGGATCTTCTCCCCACCTAGTTTTAAGTTAATGGGAAAATGCATTTTAAGATGCTTTATGTGTGTGTGTGTGAGACTGATTTTCCATTCAAATGGGCAACATTTTCTGATTTTTGTTCAACTCTGCCTTTGCTTTCATAGCTCACTACGATCCACTGGATGTGGAATAACCAGGATCTGAAAACTGAAAAAGCTATTTTAAACAGGTATGTCTCAATCTCCTCTCCTATAACCTTGGGCTTTATTCTAAGAAAATGGTCTGCCAAAACACTTCTGTCATCTCTCTTGCACCTTCCCAGCTAGGTCATTTGCCTCTGGTTCCTTCATAGCACTCAAACTGCATTCCATACAAAAATCTCTTCCGAGAGTTGAACAAAAATTCTTACGGTTGTGGAAGATGTGTATCAAGTAACTCCTCTTGCACTAAAACTGCAGAAATTTACTGATGAAAGGGTATATAAACCTGGAAATAAAATCACCCCGGATTTTCAGAGTGTATACAAACAAGAGAGGGAACACTCTTCCTGTTCCCAATCTCAGCAATGAAAAGATGGTGAATTTGAATTTGAAAAAAGGTGGTCCTCTGGGTCCACGTTGGCAGTGCAGCCCAAGTGGCCCTGGCAGTGCCCTGGCCTCTGAGCTACTCCCTCCCTTTTCTTGAGAAAGGAACACATGTTCACAGCCAGGTAGCTCTATCAGCTAGTTTCTGGCAAACGGAATCCCAGAAGTCTGACAGCGTTTCCTTCGCTTTGTCCTGGACTGGTCCCTTTCAGTCCAAGCTGGCAAGGTTTTGTGCTGAGATGGCATCCGTGTCTGAGACACACAACCTAATCTCTACACCAAAAGGCTGCCCAGCCACACTCTTCGTCTTCTTTCCAGAGCATGTTATCTGAGTAGGCTGAGAATTTCCCAAACCAAGTGCTGGTTCCTTTTTACTGACCAGTTCCTTCCTCAATTTCTCATTCCTCTTACATTTTACCACAAGCAGCAAGGAGAAATCAGGCTGCACTTTCCATACTTTTTCTGGAAATTTCCTCAGCTAAATATCCAAGTCATTACTTACAGGTTTTATTTTCCTTCCAATAGAACATAATTTAGCCAAATGCTCTTTACAGCAAGGACAGCCTTTCCTTCAGTGTCCAGCAACCCATTCGTCACTTCCCTCTAATAGCTCACCAGAAGCACCTTCAACATTTGTATTTCTAGCAAGATTCTGTTCGTAATGATGTAGGTACTCGCTAAGATGACTGGTGCTCTCTCTTCTTTCTAAGCTCTCACCAGAATCACCTTTAACATCTACAGCTCTACCAAGAGTCTCTTCACAGCAACCTACTATACTGAAAAAGAGTATGAAAAGGAATATGCTGGCCACTGGAAATTAACACAAGATTGTAAATCAACTAAACTTCAATTTTAAAAAATTTAAAAAAAAAGTGCAATCTAGATTTTCTCTATCAGGCACCTTGAAACTTTCCAATCTCTATCCATTACCCACTTCCAAGGTCAAGTCCACACTTCCAGGTATTTCTTACAGCAGCACTCTACTTCCCAGTAGTAAATATGTACTAAATTCCTCAGGCTGCCATAGCAAAATACCACCAACAGGGTAGCTTACAACAACAGAAATTTATTCTCTCATGGGAGGCAGAGGTCCAAAGTCAGGGTGTCAGCAGGGCCACCCTCTCTCTGAAGGCCCCAGCACAGGAGCTCTCCTTGGCTCTTTCCAGCTTCTGGCCACTGCCAACAAGTCTTCTTTGGCTTGTAGACTCCATTACTCCAGTCTCTGCCTTTCTTATCACATGGCTTTCTCTCCTCTGTGTCCATGTCTTCCCATGGAGTTCTCTTTGTGCATCTGTGTCCAAATTTCCCTTGTCTTCTAAGACACTGGTCATAAATCCATCATGATCTCATCTTACTTTGATTATACCTACAGATACACTATCTCCAAGTAAGGTCATATTCACAAATACCAGACATAAGCATATCTTTTGGGGGTCAGACTCAATTTTACCCACAATACAAAGAAAATTCTTAACACAATTGGAGAATTCTAAGAAAAGTGGTCCATAATTCATAATAGTAGAAAACTTGGGGATCTGAACATATGCTACTAAGCTCCAGGTCCTCAGACTGCTGTTCAGAATTTCTCCTGATGATGACAGACGCTAGTTTAATCATGTTTAGAAGCTTTCACATTACTTCATCATTAATCATTTCCTAAACAAAAGCACCTTTACTTAGAATGAGTTAAAATACGAATCTCTACCTTTAATGCTTCAGTGGCCTTGCGAAGTTCCTTAATAACTGACGATAAAGCTTCTGGGTTAATTCCTTGTTCACAAAGCCGGACACATATAGACAGGGTTTCCATATCTAATCCAGTATTCAGAATTCTTGAAATCTCAAGCAGAACTGGGAAAAAGACAGAATATTTAAAAACAAAATCTTACAACATTTTAAAACGTGCACATAATACTTCTGTTTTTAATTCGTGTAATACTGCGTAATACCGAAGAGCCAGCAAAGCATCCCTGGATTTGGAAACTGGTATGCAATACTGCCCTGCCCTTACTTAGCTCTAGGAACTTAAAAATAAATGTACCAACCTCCGTCCACATAACTGCTTTTTACATCTTGGTTTGTATTCTGCCACTCATTTAATATCTACCTAAACTTTACACCTCATCATCAAGATGATTCTGAACACTTCCTCACTTTTTAGTATTCTTTTACTGTGTAATTTAATTAGTCATGTAATATTCCATTTTATGGAATATTTTATGTATAACATTACACATTACTCAACCACTCTGCTATTTTGTTAGGCGGGTCTCATGTTTCCCCCATTACAATAACACTGCGATAAATATCTGTATATACTATCTTAATTTTATCAGAATAAATTCCTAGAAGTGAAACGGCTCAATTAGTAATATACATAACTAAGGCTTTAAAAATATTTCAAAAATATTATAATGTGACAGAGCAATCATGTTTACTTATATTTTTATAAAATATAAGCTTATACTTTTTAACTTCATTTTTGTAGTACTTCATTTTATTGCAGTTTATAAAAGTATCTGCCCTTGATATGAGAAGCACCAGCATGCAGAACCACAGGATGTAAATACACTGGCTCCATTAAACTTTGTTTTATGATGGCTGTTTCCCAGAGCGTGTTTAAAAGTTTTTAAATGTATGGTCAACGTCTTATCTGTTGTTTCCTGTATCATTCTCCCTTGGCATTATGCTTAGAAAGTTATTCCCCAAGCCAAGATTATGTAATTATTCACCAGTATTCCCTTCCAGCTCCTGAAAGTTTATTCCCAACCCCATCCTCGCCCCCATGAACATAAAAACGTAACTCTCTGGAGTCTGGGTAGAAGACAGAATCTCTAACTTTTCCTTCCAGAATGAAGTTAGTTGCCCCAATACTATATATTGAAGGATCTATCCTTTGATCACTCAAGTAAGATGCCATCTTTATCACATAGAAAAATTCCCATATGGCTATGAATTTGTTGCATGTCTGTCATTTGTCAAAGTGACAATTGTAATTACTACCTTCATATTGCATGTAGTAGGTTAAAGATACCTCTGTTACCATTCTTTATCATAAATGCTTTTATCCCCTTGGTGAACTTAAAAACAGATCCAGGAACAAATTCCATTTGGATTCTGATTTGAATTGCATGAAAACTACACATTACTTGAGGACGGATAAACAAGTTAATATTCAGTCATCTATTAATTTAAGTCTAAGTCCTTCTGAAAACTTTTATAGTATTCATGACGCTCATGATATGGGCCCCTCCACTTTTTCATATCTGACATTCATTTTCATCTCCAGAAGGTTAACGTTACTCTTTTAAGAAACATTTATCTTCCATTTCTCTACTTAACTTTTTGAACACACGGAGTATCGGAGTATCGTTCTAATGTATCCATCTGCTAATCCTAACATTTGTGTCAGTTGTGGGTCTGTTTCCAACTGATTAAAATTTTCTCCTTACCATGGGTCATATTTTTCTATTTTGCATACCTAATAATTTCTGACTAGATGCCAAACACTAAATTCTCTCTTGTTAGGTGCTGGGTATTTCTGTATTTCTACACATACTCTTGAGCTTTGTACTGAGACAGTTGTTGGGAAGCAGTTTCATCCTTTTGGGTCTTTTAAGACTCATCAGTTGGGACCAGAGCTCCGTTGAGGATAGTGCTAATTATTACTCACACAATGTCTTGTGAGTTATGAAGTTTTCCACTCTGGCTGGTGGATACAGGCACTACTCCCAGTCCTGTGTGAGCTTGGTGTACTGTTTCCTTTAATGCTTTCGAGCGGCTGCTTCCCAACTCTTTGGGTACCTTCCTTGCACACATCAATGCTCTGCTGGATACTGGAGGGAGACCCTCCTGCAGATCTGCAGAACTCTCTGGGTGCAGCTCTTTCCCCTCAGGCACCCTGTCCTGCAAATTCTACTTGCCTTGGTCTCCCTGGACTCAAAGTTTCTTCTGCTCAATTCGTGGTGTCCCCTGGGTTCTGCCTGAGTTCCTCCCCCTCCCCCCACTGCATTGTGGCCTGGAAACTCTGAAGGCAGGAAGCTGGGGCAACTGTCTGTTGTGTCTCCTGCCCCTCAGGGATCACTGTCCTTCGCTGCTTGTTGCCCAGTGTCTTGAAAGCCACTGTTTTGGATGTTTTGCCCGGGTTCTGCTGGTTGGTTCAGGGAGGAGGGTAAATCCAGTGCCTGTTACTCCAGCTTGGCTAGAAGCTGACAGCTCTTTTTCCGTTTTCGTGTCTTCGGTTTTGATATTCCAGCATTCTAATACTTTGTTTTTCAGTTGTATTCAGGCTGTTATTCATGGTATCTGCTGAATTTATTTCAATAACTATTTTAAGATTTCTGTTCCCTACCCCAAATAATCACTTGTTCTGGTCTCACAGCTAAATGCTTATTTATAACCACTTCTTATTTGGTGGCTGTTTCTGCCTTTATCTATTGGAGGCTGTGTTCTTATCTTTAGCCATTTTTGAGACTTTGTTTTCTGTTTTTTCATAGAATCAAGCAGTGAAAGAGAAATAAATGTGCTCTCTAGGGCCAGACGACCTGGGTGAAGATTCCACTTTCATTACTCACAAGGCAAGGTCACCACTCTGGATCTTTCTTTCATCACTCTGTAAAATGGGGATAATAGTTGTATTTATTTTACAGGATGGTTGTCAGGATTAAAGGATACACATAGAATGGTGTTGGGCATATGGTGGTGCTAATAAAAAGGTTAGCTGTTACTACTACTTTCTCTCTCCCTTTTTTTCTGTTTCCCATATTAGTTGTTTGTTTATATTTTTATCTACTTTAGGTGCTCTGTGATTTGGGGCTAAAAGCTCATCTTCCACAGGGGATTTCTCTTGGACGTCCTCACACTGGTGGACCCTTTCTTGCTTGGGTGGTCTCAGCCCTCTGGATCAGGGCTTGTGAGAGCATCCTGGCTCCAGAGCCACAAGGGACACAAGGATGGTGATTCTCAATCCCTGGCCACGGCAGATGGCACCATTCTGGCCACCGGCCTGGCTCAGGCAGGGCAGCTTCCCCAGGTTTTGTTCCCTACCCCCTGCTGTGGATCTCATTGCTCCATTCTCTGGGAGAACTTCTCTCTTTCTAACCAATGGAGAAGTCCTTTTCTCATTTTTGAATAGGGCTATGCTGATAATGGTATTTCAACATTATTTCCTGTCATTTTTATATGCTTGGGGTAGAAAAGTTTCAGCAAGTGCTCAAGCATGATCAATTTTGATAGTGAATCATCACTATGTTTAATTTCAAGTCTTGACTGTTTTCCTAAATGGATTTCAACCACACTTTTGCATGTTCTGAGTGCTCAGTGCAAATACTCCAGGATATTACTTATTTGTATTTTGCAGTCAACCACCTTCATAAATTCTATCACAGCTTCTAATAGTTTTTCAGTTGACTCTCTTGTTTTCTACCCAAATCATCATTTCACCTACAAGTAACAGTTTCCTGTCCTTTCTGATAGCTTTTTCCTCTATCCTGTGCTATTTGCTAAACGTTTCATATCAATATTTTTAAAAAACAGTAAAAGCAGGTATTTTCAGTTTCATTTAGAACATATTTAACGTTAATGTTAAGGATGAGGTTGGTTTCATTCAGCTATCTTTTGGCATGCTAAAAATGTAGAGTTTTCTTTGGCAAAGACTTTAAAATCAGGAAAAAAAAAAACTGAGTCTTAGCAACAACTTTTCATCAACCACTGAAACCACCAAGGAGCTTTTCTCCTCTGACCTGGTGAGGTAATACGTTATGTTGACCCACCACATTCACAGCTGAAGAACACTGAGCTTGAGAAATCCTTACTTTGACAATAAGCCATTAGCAAGCCTGATTTTTATCTGGAGGTAGATGTGACCTCATCCCGCACTGCTGCTCACTGTAAACACAACCCTGAGAAACAGCAGGAGTAAAAAGCAGCCAAGGCCTTGTGTTCTTGGCATACAGAGCTCAGGGCTCATGGAAGATGGCATCTCCCAACAGTGACACTGCATGACTTCTGAGGCTAGGTGAAAAAGACAATATAGCTATCTCCTGACTCTCTCGAGATGCTCTCCCTTGGAATCCAGCCTCCAAGTGTAAGGAAATCCACATGTTCCAGACACCAGCCCCTGCTGGGGGCCCAGCTAACAGCCAGCATCACCCAGCAAGTATGTGAGTGAGGAAGCCCTGAGATACCCCCGACTCAGCACTGTCTACTGCACTGTGTGAGATACCCTCAAGGAGAACCATCTAGATGAGCCTGGGCCACACCCTCAGCTGGGAGAGGTCAGTACTGTGGTTTCAGGGCTCCCAATTTGGGGTAACTAGAACACGCATTATGACCCTATTCCATCTCTCCAACTTGATCTCACCTCCCCAGGTCTTTGCCAATTCTCTCTCTCGAGTGTTCTCTGCATGGCAGACCCCGATCTAGAAATGCTCTGTTCCTTCTGGACTTCGTGCCTGTGCTGGTGCTGTTTTCCTCTGCCTTTTCTCTTCCTTGCCTATCCCATCATCCCACCTTTCAGGTCCATCTTAGTACTAGCATGCGAGTTTTCTATTCAAATGGGATCCTGTGGCCATATAATTAAGGAACAGCTAACATAAGACAACTTGACTCGCAGTCAGGCCTTATATACTCTCCATTCTGTTCAAAATCCAGACTGGCCTCCAAGCAAAGATACAAGACAATAACACATACAGTTTCTATGTACACAGATCCACTCACAAAGTGAAGCTAATAAGCTGTGATACATTAAGGATACAAAATTAGGCTGAATATAGTGTTAAGAACAAAAGTCCCCATAAGGAGGGGCTCCAACAAGAAGTGGAGCTCGTAGTGAAGGAGACAGAGACACCGCATGGAGGCTGACACTGCTTAGTGAGAATTCCATGTTTTGACAGAGGAAGAGGCTGATGCGGGTATCCCCTGGAAAACGCAAAAAAGCAGTGTTCAGCATCTATCAAACACTCACATACAGGTGGATGCAAATAAATTGAGGACAATGAAAGGAGTCTGCAAGTGGGATGACGTCTTATACACAAACATAGCATAGTAATTATCTTCTATTGGTCACCTTTGAGACGATTTTCAGGTTCTCTCATTTAAATACTCACAATAACCGTAGAACGTAGTAACCTCGCTTTACAGAAGAAAAAAAAAGACGCAGGCTCAAAGATGTCTAATTAAGTAGCTTACCCAAGCCCACTGCCAGGAGTATAAAGTGGCAGAGCCAGCATCAAAGAGGAGAAAGAGGATAACGCTTTAAAAAAAAGACAAAAAACTACTTGCAGGTAAGCTTTAACCCGTGCTCGGGGCTCAAAAACGGATAAATACACCCACAGACTCCCGACACCGACATTACCCACTCCAAGACGAAACTGGGGCAATGCTGATAAAAGCGGCAACTTGTTCATTCACCAGATATTTCAAATGCGCCTGCTGAAGTGCGAGGGACAAAGGATGTAGCGGTGACCATACACGCAAGGCCACGGTCCGCACCGGGCTTACTCTGGGGGGCTTCGGAGGAGCCCAGGCACCGGGCCTGGCGCGCAGGGTGGGCGTGGCGCTGGAGAGGGGCGTGGCGCGGGGAGGGGGCGCGGGAGGAGGAACGCGGGGACCCGAGCGGGAGGAGGAACGTCCGGACCCCGAGTGGGAGAGGGGCGGGAGCGGGGAGGGGGCGCGGGACGAGCGCGCAGGAGGGACGAGCGCGCAGGAGGGACGGCGCGCGCACTGGGCTGACGTGGGGCCGGAACGCCACGCACGCGACAAACTACGCCGGAGCAAAAAGGCGACTATCAAAGGATGGGGCCCTCAGCCCAGCGGCCCTGGTGGGACTCTTGGGAGCATCTCCAAGGATGCCGATCGGGGCAGGGAGTGGACCTGAAGTCCTCGTGGGCACACCCCCGCCTGAGGGTCCTGGCGCTGGGGAGCCGAGGCAAGGTAAAGGGGGCGAAACGGGCACTCACCGTCCATGGTCTCCCTCACCGCATTCAGATTGGCTGCCGCCGCCGCCGCCCCGGCGCCGCTGCTACCCGCCATGGCGGAGGCCCGGCGAGGCGGGGCGAAGGGCCTGACCCGGAACTGGAGCGCCTTCCTCTCTCCTGGGCAATCCCACGGCGCGTCCCCCGCTCACGCCGGGCAGGCCCCGCCCCTCGCGCTCGTCGCCGGCGAGAGGCAGCGTTTATTTGAATTTGGAGCCTCGTTACTCAGCGGGGAAGGTGAAGCGAGGAGTTGCCATTCGAATTTACTACGCGGCCTCGACGCGATTGGCCGGTTCGCGGACAGCCGTGCGACGCGATTGGCCAGTCGCCCACAAGGCCCGTGCCCTGGTTGGCCTAAGACAGCGCGGAAGCGGGGAGTTAAAGAGTCTGAGCCTGTCGTGGGAGCTGGCCCGGCACCCTCTGGAGCGCCCTGGAGTCGATTTGGGGGGCTTCCTTTTTGTACACACCACTAGGTACGTTCTTTGTAGTTCCTGGCCTTTCCGCCTGTCTCGAATGGAGAGCTCACTTTTCCCAGCCCCGGACCGGCCTTGCCGGCTCGCCCCGGGAGAATGGGAGCAGCCGGGGAGGACGTGCGGAGGAGGGGCGCCGAGAAGGAGTGATCGAGTGGGCTTGGGGATGACACCGGCTTGAGTGTCCTGGTCTGCTCTTCGCCCGTGGAAGCCGCAGCACGTCAGCCTTCCAAGGAGTGGATTCTTTTTCTCTAGTTGTAGCCCGTTTTGACAGGAAATAATACAGTCTCGCCTTCTATCCTGGGTTGTCTTAGCCAAAGGAGGGTGTTTGAGAAGAGGCAACCCAAAGCATTTAACTTCCTAGCCCTCATCAGTCATACGTTTCTCACGGGGACTAATGTACGGGGAAGGCGCCCATACACAGGCTTCCTCGTCTCTTGCTTGCTTGCTGTAAATAATTGTTTAGTAACTGCTGTTTGTTAGGGGATTGCTGGGCTATCCAAATTATGTTCAAAGTGTTTCGAGACTGGAGATAATGAATGAAAAACTGTGGGTATGAATTCTTTAGTTGGGAAAAGTTTTATGCTCATTGTAACATTTAGCTGCCTCGAAGGCGGACCTGAACTCATTCATATTCGGTTGACTGCTGCTTAAAAGCCACTTAACTTCTCTGAGCTTGTTAATACTTCTGCAAAATCTTATCACCAGCACCTTACCCCTCTAGCTTTCAAGGTTATTTAGAGAATCACACTTCAGAAAATGTATGTGACGCTCTTGTGTAAACTATAAAAAACCTCAAGAGTGTTAGGTTTTCAGTTGATTCTTTTTGTGAAATGTATGTTTGTTGAATACATTTTAATTGTCAAAATGAATGTCTGTGGAACTTTGTACTTTTTAAAAATTATACATTCTTGTGATTTCTTTTTAGTTTTCTCTCTGTGCTATGGGAGATGTCAAAGAATCAAAAATGCAAATAACACCTGAAACTCCAGGAAGAATACCTGTTTTAAATCCTTTTGAAAGTCCTGGTGATTATTCTAATCTCCATGAACAGACTGTCTCTAGTCCTTCTGTTTTTAAATCGACAAAATTACCAGTAAGTTATTCTTGACTAGTGTTTACAAATAACTTTAAATGTAAATATCTTTCTTTACAGGAGAAGTGGGAAACTTACCATGGAATGTATATATCTGGAATGTGCTTTTTAATTATAATATTCATTATAATGTGGTGGTTGGGCTAAAAATAAGCTAGCCAGATTTTCTTTTTGTTTTATTCAGCAGGTAGCGTGTTAACTTCCTGCAGCCGTGGGTGCAGCTATGTACTATGGTTGATGATACATCATAATAGAGAAGAAGCTATGTCATCTATCTATTCTCGTATAATCAGCAAACATTATCTGAAGGCTGTGTGTCAGATACAGAGCTAAGCTATAGGGGTTACACCTTGAACAAGTCAGGGTTATAAAACACAAACTGTCAGAGAGCTTATACTCTAATCCAGGGGTCAGCAAACTTTTCCTGTCAAGGGCCAGATGGTTACGTATTTTAGGCTTTGCAGCTCATCTGGTGGCTGTTGAAACTACTCACCTCTGAATGTATTAGAGAAACAGCCATCAGTATGTAAATAATAAATGTGGTTGTGTTTCAGGAAAGCTTTTTTTATGGACACTGAAATTTGAATTTCATGTAATTTTCACATGTTATGAAATACTGATACTCTTCTGGATTTTTGTCAACCATTCTTAGCTTGCAGATTGTTTGAAAAGAAGTCAGCCTCTACTGTAACGGGTTATTAGACACAACTAAACTAGCAACTTCAAGGGTATATGACACGTGCCATGACTAGTGGTTTAAACACAAGGCTGATATGGAGAGGAACGTGTTCTTTAGGAGATTAGAGGACTCTTCATCTGCTCAGCTTATTTTTCTGTTATTGGTTACAGTGAAGAAGTTCTTTTGAAGTCTGCTCTTTTAACTTAGTTAATTATCTAAATATTGCAAACTGGGTGGCTGTTGATGCTTGCTACACTTTACATCAGCTTGATGCTAGCTGAGCACTAGAGGAGTTTTTCTGTTACACAGTTTATATTGAGTCATTTATCTGACCTCATGATTTAATTTTTTTTCACCTCTAAATATGTTTGATTAAGATATCTGAAAGATGCATTGAATTTTTTCCCCTATCACATTTCTGCTTCCTCCTCTATTTGAGAATCTAGCACATTAGGAAAGTGGTACCCAAGTGCTTCCGAGCACAAATGTACCTGGATGTAGACTTCTCATCCAACGATGAGAAGCACAGAGCTGACCTCATGATTTTAAATTGAATAGTATTAAGTCTGAGTTATCTATTAGTCTTAATAAACATATGGAGTGACCTCAATCCTCAAAGCAAGGAGGCATGGCATCTTGGGCTTTTAAGCCTTATTTTGTCAAAAATATATTCTGAATTACAGAATAGAATTTGGATAAGTTTTTGATGTGTTGGATAGTTGAATACAGAAAAGCAGGACTGGTAATCACTCATAATCAGTTTAAGGATTGCCTTTTTTATGAGCTTTTGCGAGCACTTTAATTTCAACTCATTCTTAATGAAAGTAAATACCTTTGATAACTCCTAAGAGGTTTTTCGTTTTACTTAGGTGTGTTGCATCACTGATGAGTGTTAATTGTGGAATTTCTATACCTTTAATACTCTGTGATTTTTCTATTATGTAATTTTAAAAATCAACCAGAGGGAAAATTTGAATATTTTAAAGAGGTACAGTCAAGTCAGTTGATTTAGTGTGATTTGATTACCATTTGCCATTTGATTTAGTGGTAAAGTCAAATTTTACAATATGAGCTATAAGATATTTTTATATTATAACCATTCACATTATTTTTGAAGCTGACATTTGAAGTTAGCATTTTGATGAACTATTTTAGTATGTCTTTACTCATAAGATCACTTTCTTTTGTTAAGACTCCAGGGGAATTTAGGTGGTCTATTGATCAGCTAGCTGTAATAAATCCTGTTGAAATTGACCCAGAAGACATTCATCGTCAAGCTTTATACTTGAGTCGGTCTCGGTAAGTTTTCCTTTCTTTCACTTAAGTGTGATAACATGCTCTCAAGTGAAGAGATACAGGAATTTCCAAGGTTGAATATTTTCCCTTGTAAAGAAATCAGGGAGGAAAAATTATGATACAGATTTATCCTGTCCAAATGAAGAATAAGCTCAAAGAACTACATTCAGAAAGATTCCTGGGCTAACAGTTCCGTATCTGGGTAGGAGTCCTTTTCTTTTAGAGATAACTTTCTCCCTCTGCTAGCAGCACCTAGTAGAAGGAAGGGCACTTTGAAATTTGTACCTTTGTACATGACTGTGACTTCGGCCATTGAATTTTGTTTTGTTTCCTTTTTTGGTGGTCTGAGATCAAGCGAAGTGCTGTTTCATTGCCATCTACATTTAGGGAAGCCTAAAATCCCCTTACCAAGTTAAGACACATTTAATAGAAGGGCATCCATTATCAAGACAGTTCTCCTAGACATCATCCAACCTTGACACTTGGGGATCTGAATTACATTATCTTGAATTCAGCCCAGTAACCAGAGCAGCTCTAACTGATTTGTTGCTGTGTCTTGTAGGTTTCCAAGTACTAGTGTTTCTTAGACTCATGCTGGTTACTGGTGCCTAATATACTGAGACTACTTCTCTAGGGGAACAGACATAGTTTTTGAGTTGCAGTAATCTATAATTACAAATTACAGGGAGCAGTATTCGTGAATAGCTTGAGGGACTCTTGTTGGTGTCAGTTTCATCATTTGATTTTTTTTTTAAAATATTTGAAAAAATCGGATACTGGTATGATCAGCTTTTAATTTTTGGCCCTTAGGTGCATGTGTTATGAATAATTCTTTTCCCTTTGACTTTTGGATCTAATTACACAAGATGTACCCATGTTGAGATGCTTTTGCGAGTATTTGGCTTTTCTACGCCTTCCTGTCTTGGCTTGGTAACTTGTTGACCATCCCCTCATGCTGACTCATTGCTCATCCCAAGTGCTGTGGATGGGCCTAGAATAGGGACAGAGCGTAAAAGAATTTTAACTTAAATCTAAATCGTACCTTTGAAAGAGAAGGCGAAAAGAACGTCTAAAAGCAAATGTGTCACAAAGGAGGCTGATTTTTTGTTTCACACAAACTGTATTTTTCATTTTGCCTCCTCTTCGCTCTGTTGAACTGTGAACAGTCAAGAGATACTGAGCCCTGAGAAACCCTGAAGTGGTCAGGAGATAACTCCTGCCCTGTAACATCAACCAAGTTTTGCCACAGCATTTCTCTACTTACTAGTAAATGATGTACTGTCTGAGCAGGTTTATGAAGAGAATTTTGTTGTATTTCGGTAGATAGACTTGTAACGTATGAGAGGGGGAAGACTCTAATTTTAATGTAGCTTACTAATATAATTCAATGAATGGTTATGGCTTCTACCAAGAATAGTGAATATACTCTAAAAACATGTTGATTTGTTCTTAGAAGCAAAGACTTCCAGTGTCTCTTCCTGTCTAATCCAACTTCTCTGTCTCAGTGCTTCTCACCTTTTTACCTTTTCTTTTTTTTCATACTGTGCCACACACGAGAAATGGTAACTGTAAGGTATACTGTGTAAACAAATGAGTCTGAGTCTCTCCATATACAGGAGGTGATCAATCCTGAAACACCCCCTCACCACCATCACCTCCTTGCCCGCCAAGGGTCCATTCAGGGGGCACCTGTAATACTGCAACGTCTTTGCATCATGCTGGTGTTCTGTGATATACTGGTCAGGACATTCTGCCCTATGTGACTTCTGGGAACCTTCTATGATCTGACCCTACAATATTTGGCCACACTGATTTTCACTGCTTCTGGTGATCACCTGAGTATTTCAGGGTGTTAGTCCTCTGGTGAAGCAGTGAAAGGTTTGTGAATGAGGTGTTGGCTAGATCAGCGCTTACTGATGCTGTGTGCTGTTATTACTGTCACTGTGACCTGGTTCTGTCCATGATACGGTGAAGAGAACGGAGTTATTATTCTCAAGATGGCTGTTCAAGCAGAGACCTGGGCATCAGCATTGTGGTCTGTTTTCTCACAGTTCCCCTTTTTGAGAAATCCACTTGATTTTAACCTCTGAAACATGTCCATTATTAGAAGCTTTGTTAAGCTGCAAATTGTATGTGAAAAATTTTTCCAAGAAAATAATGTCTTACCAGCTTATTGATTTAAGCAAATATTCCTTCTAGGAACAGATTAAAGAAGTGGTTCTACGAGGCTCACTGCTGAGTCTTGGCAAGTATATGCCTTGTGCTTGAGACCCGACATTTTGTATTAAATCTTAAAGTTGATAAATTTGTGGTGCTGAAATCATCTGTTTTATCAAAGTGGAAAAAAAAAGAATTTGGACAAAATTTTATATTTCATATTTCAAATTTTATACTGATATTTCATAATGAATCATTTTGCCTCTTTATTTGGAACTATAAAGATGACAGTTTCTTTTATCAAAGTAAGAGTTGATTCTAAAATTACAAGTCTGATAAACTTGCTACCATTGAAGAAAAAGAATTAGGACAATTTTTAGATTTCTGTGGAGTAAAATACTTCTTAATTTGGTGATGATTAAAGGGCAAATTTTATTCAAATTAGCTTTATGTTATTAATAGTAATTTTAAAGTTGTATCAACATAAGCCTTTTAAAAGGAAATACTATTCCATTCAAACTGTGAATGGAGACGGGGGAGGTAAGCTTAACAGTACAAGGCTGAATTTCTAAATACTGTCATTTTCACAGTGTGCAAGATTCCAGTTTTTCTTTTAAAATGAACTTAACATTTGCCAGTTCTCCACAGGAAAAAATGATTGAAAGGTTATGATTTTAAATGTTCAATCTGCTGAAGTAATGGCCTGGTTATTTTTCTCCTTTATCTCCGTATAGAATAGATAAAGATGTGGAAGACAAAAGACAAAAAGCCATTGAAGAGGTAACTTAAAACTGTTACTGATCGTGAAGCCAGTTAAGCATCGATTCTGCACATCCATCACCTCTAAAAGAGGAAGACTTCCTTCACATCGTCTTCTGTGCCCCTCCCTACCGGCCACCCGTGCCCAGTCCCCGTCCCCAGGACCCCTCAGTGCTCGCGTCAGACCAGTGTGTTTCAGCTGTTCCAGCACCTCTGTCATCCTCACATGCTCTCGTACTGATCGGTATTTCTTTTCTCCCTCCTACTGAATTCTTCTTCTGGCCAGTGTTTGCTTCATGCATCTCTTCATTCTCACAACCTAGCACGATGTGTCTTCCTCGTGCCTTGGATTAGCACAAACTGTTGTTTCAAGTTGGAGTTTATGTAGAGGAAGGTGAATATTTTCAAGCCTTGAAAATCTAGACTGGCATCAGTAATGGTTTTATCTTCTGTGATCATTAATTCTTTGAATTTTTAAGATATAGACTGTATTTCATCACATAAAACATACTGCTCAATAGAAAAAGTATTTTATATTACAGATGTAAAACTTTTTTTAATAAAACTAACAAACTCAGTTTTTCACTTTACATTTTCTGTGTTTGCTGAACTCCTCCTCTTTGAGTGTAAGGGTTCTCTATCTAGTTATTTCCTCAAAGTCTTCAAGGCACGGCAGCATTTTTTATTTTTTCCTTTTTCCCTCACCAGCCCCCTCCGCCCACCTCTATTCCTTGGCTATGCTTGCTTCTTCTGTGCCCCAGGAGACTTCAGCTGAGGCATGTTCAGAGATCAGTGATACGCGGGTTCCCATATTTCAGATGGAGCCTGTTTTTTAGGTTTCATGTGCTTTACTCCTGCCAAACATTATCTACTTCTTAATCTATCTAATAGCTTCAAGATTTCGTTCTATTCTGGTCACTTGATTCCTCCCCAGTTGAATATTCTCAGACTCTCTCCCATTTCCCAACATTTGAGGAAATACGCTTTCTCTTTTGAATCCTCAGCTTCATTTTAAAGGGGAATTCAGGAGAAAACTTAAGAAAATGAATTCAGAATGAAGATTAGGGCTAATATATCAGAAGTTAATGTGTCAGCAACAAATTAAATTCATACGTATATATGTGTATGTATATGTATATATATGAAATACAATGAATACATGCACATAAATAAAAGATTCAAATTGCAAAGAAAGAATTTAAATTCAAAATGAAGAGCCTTTTGTTCTCCTGTCTCACACTTTAAGAGTAACTGCTATAACATTTCTTGAGTATACTTTCAGATTCGTTCTACATATGTAATAGCACGTGTCCTTTAAATATTTCCACAGATAGAATCATCATTCCTGTAACTGTTTTGTGCCTGCCTTTTTATGCTTTTTTGATTATCAGCACATACCGATTTTTAATAATAGCATAATATTTCATTGTAGGAAAGTCCTATAAGCTGATCCAGCCGCTATTGACAGATATGCAGGTTGTGCTCAGCGTTTTTCTATCCCTGCAGTAAACACGCTTGTGAAGTTGCTAAGTCAGAGGCTTTGTATTTTCTGTTTTGGTAGATTTTGCCCTCCCAAAAGGTTGTACCAGTTTATTTCCTGGCCACCTTAATGATACTGCCTGTTTTCTCAAATCTGCAGTACTGGCTACTATCAAGCTTCTTAATTTGTGCTGCTCTTATTACTTTAAAATTTTCGTCTTGTTGGATTCGTATTTCTTTCATTTTGAGTGAACCTATGCATTGCTTCATGAGTTTATGGGTCTTTGCTTTTTTTTTCTGGGAATTACCTATACCATAATCTCTGCCTCCCCTCTTTTTTTTTTTTCCAACATCTTTTCTTCGTGTATTCATAGGTAGTGTAGACAAAGAAGTTAGTGCTTCTTGTCATGGATATAGCAAAATACAAAGAAAATGTTTTGAGTTACCCCCAAAATGTAGAGAGGGGAGGGGAAATGCTATATTACTGTATTAGGCTTAATTAATTTTGTATCTGGAATGAAAGAGGAAAGACATTTATCCAAATGCTCCATTTGAGTATCCTGGCCAGTGGTGTGCTGGTAAATGTCTAATAACTGGCCTTCTGACTGTGGGAAGAGTATGTGCTTTAGTGATTGCTGCTATCCATAGTGTAAATACTCCAACCGTGGCCAGTTTCAAGTTGTGATGTGATGTTACTTAATGGGAAAAGAAATGTAGTGGTACAGCCTTGTATGTAGGCATTCTACCAGGTACAAAACACATAATTAACCTCAAAAACATAGGTAACAGTAAATATAAAATAATTAGCAAGTGATGATTTTTGAGTATTTATTCCCTTTGTTTTTAATATAATTTATGTAAGTTTACATAATTCTAATTTTAATATTGGCTTTGTTTAACAACTGATACGCAGAATTCCTGAAAATTTAATAATTAGGTCTTGAGAGTCAGTGCGGGTCAACTCAAGTACACCATTCATCATATACAGTTATCTCATATATAGCTACTCATATAGAGCTATCTCCATGTATTCCATCCATCTTCATCCTCTCTTTGGCCAGCCTCTCCCTCCCCCACAAAAAAAATTGAGGGAGAAATTAAAAATATTTTCTAACACAGCTACTTTTTCCTATTTAGGGGGTAGTTTATGCCTAACTGTGTGACTTTAATTTTCCTAGTTTTTCACTAAGGATGTCATCGTACCCTCTCCTTGGACTGATCACGAAGGGAAGCAGCTTTCAGAGTATCATTCCAGTAAATGTGAGTGTACGAAAAATCATATGAATAAAAATCATAAAAATAAAATGCAGTGAGTGCCAAGCAACATATAGCCAAGTGCCAGTGTACCTGCTTTTGTAGGAAGCTTGCTGTAAATTAAATTTCTGGATTCCAGAGGGTTTTACTATTTAACAGGATTCAGAACTTAACTTAAATGTGCTAAATTCTTTTTTCTGGTCATTCTATTCTGAGTTTAACTTTTTCTTCATAACTATTGTGAATATTAGTTATAATGCTGGTTATGGAGGATCCATAGATACAGAAATAGTTGGTATTGAATATAGAGCCGAGCTGGTCATGATGTTTGCAGTGATTGTGAAGGTTAATTTTCTTAATGAAATCCTTAAATTGCTTTCTGCTAATTTGCTGGTTTCTTCTAATGGTAGAGGAAGGGTGAACATTTATGTGAGCTCTGGGACAGTGTAATACAGCTGATGATTTGCAAAATTAGTGAGGAAATTGAAGGGCAAACCAGTAACCTTTCAATTATTTTTCTTCCTCCAGGAATTTTGAATTTGCTCTCACTATCCTTTGGGTTGTGAGTAGTACTCAAATATTAATTGTATATATGTACCTGTCATTTCAGTGGAATTGCCCCCTTCTCTATGTAGCATACATTAATTATGCTTTCAGCATAAGAGGAATATTTGTTGCGTTCTTTATCAAAAGCACAACAATACAGGAAAAAAAAAGGAGTTGAGCACTTTCCATGTGTCCAGACAGTGCTAAGTGCTTTCACTGTTCCTTACAACAGCTCAGATGAGGTAGGTGCTATCATTGGTCTCATTTTATAAGTAAGAAAACCTAGTTTTAGAAAGAGTGGAGCACTTTCCTGGGTTACAGAGATGATAAGTTGGTAGAACCTGGATTTACAACGAGGCTTATTCAGATGCTGTACTCTGAGCCACTACAAACTAAAGGTGGCATGCAGTCGTGGGTGGAGATCTGGCTTGTAGACCATCTGCTGTTATAAACCAGAGGGGTGACCTTGATCAACTTCTTCAATCTCTTTAGGACTCAGTCTTTTTATTTGTAAAACAAAGTGGTTAAACTAGATGGTTGTGTATTAACATCCCTCCCAGCTCTAAAATTCTATATCCAAGGTGACATTTCCATAGATACCAGACTTTCCCTCCAAATTCTTAAATGTTGGATCTTTGAACAGATGAGTCAATCTTATGTGATCTTTTTCATAACATCATTTTATACTTGAGGTATCCCATTTTAGTCAAAGTGATGCAGATCTGGAAGATGCTAAAAATACTACATCCAACCTCTTTGACACGCTCATCAAACCCATGATGCCAGAGTGCAGTGGTTAATAGGTGGGGAGGTGGCTGTTCCAGAGCCTTTCTGTCCAGTATGGTGTCGGTTCTCCATGGATCTCGCATTTCTACACATCTCAGGAGGAATGGCACAGCCAGGTTTTGTTCTGGATAGCTTTTTGGTGTAATCAGATCCATCCATTTTTCCTCATTTGATTATGGTCTTAAAGTTACAAGTTAACACTTGCAATAGAGTTGAAAAGTGATGTGCTAGTGCTCCTGTCTGATCTGAGGAGGAAGGCATGCTGGTAGAAGACACAGTTTGAGCTGAGACTTGAGTTAGCCAGACTCGGGGAATGGGGGAGAAAAATCAGAGAGGAAAGAGTATTAGAAATACCTAGAAGTGAGAGAGGAAACTTGTTTGTTTTTTAAGGTATTCAAATAATGTTTGGTTGGAGAACAGTTGTGCTAGAGACAGAGACAAATGGGAATGGATTTGTTTACGTTATTAAGGTGTTTGGACTCCAGCCTGAAGTCCAAGGACATTACAGGATTTTTGCAACAGGGTGACTTAATTACATTTGCCTTTTTTATTTTATTTTAACTTAATTTTGTTTTCTTTTATTTTACTTACTTTTAATTTTATTTATTTTATTCTTTTATTTTATTTTAATTATTTTATTTTTTATTTTATTTTATTTTATTTCATTTTAATCCATTCTGATAGTGTGTATTTTAATAGGAGACTTTAACCCATTTACTGCCCTCCACCTCCACTCACTCATCCATTTATTTATTATCTGATGATTTTTCAAGTTAAGAAGCTTAACATGTAGTTGTTAACTTTGGATTTTTTACAAAATTATTTGCATCCGTATTTTTGACCCGTCTTGGGAAAAAAAAAAAAACCTGAGCACGGTTTTATTGATCAAATTTCAGTTTCAGTCAGAATGGCTTGGCATTTCAGTTCAGACAATTGAAACCCATTTTGGAAAAGCATCAGGCGACAGAGGACATAGAAGTTGGCTAACATGCATCCTCAACCTTTAAAGGTTGACATCACAGAGAGCAGCCCTGCTTTCCTTGATGTACCCTGACTCGCTCCGGTAATCCTTAAATTTTATCCGTGTGCTCCCTCAAAGCTGAAAATAAATAAGTAAATAAACTTAACAGAAACATGCCAAATTACATACTCACATGGGCAGACACTTATTTTTTCAATGTGAAATAAAAGTTTCCCCATTTCTTTTTTTAAGCTCTGGAAAAAGTAACCCAAAAATAAATGAAGAATATAAAAATGTAAGGTTTTCACTTAAAATATTTTACAGGTATTAGCATAAATAATGACTCGCCAACTGAAAGAAAACTGACCATCCATTCTGAGAAGAGCAACGGTAAGCGTGGATATAATCGGAAAAGAAGTCTGTTTTGTATTAAGCGACATTTGATTTTAAATTCAGTTAATGGGATAACACTTCACTCTGGAGTTGAAATTGCTTTCTTTTTATGAACAAGCTTTAGGAGAGCTGACCTTTAGAAACAGCAGATATATCCAGCCATGTTTTAAAAATGGTGATAGTGTGTTTTGTGGATCAAAGGATGTGAATCGAATTTTGGTTTTGGAAGGCATTCTTTGGAAAATGTGTTAATATTGGAAAATTGATCCCCAAATATAGGCTTGCTTCTTCTTCATTCATGTTTCAGCAGCACAACCAAGAGTTAACTTTTACCTTTAACAGGTTTACATGAGTGCTGGAAAGTGTGGGAAACCGTCTATAGGAAGGTGGCATGTTATATAGTGGAATGCGTAAATGAAATAATTCAGTTTGGCTGGAACATCACGGGGAGGTGGTTGATTGGGAAGCACATGCTAAATTGCATGTAACAGGCTTGCATTGATTTATCCATGTTTGTATTTATTTATCTACCTGCTTCCAGCTGCTTGCCAGACATTGCTGTCTCTTCCTGTGGATTTTAATTTAGAAAAGGTATTAGGTAGGTATTCTATTTGTTTAAGCCTTTAATAACTTAAATAAAAGGTTTCGTTTTAATGGCTTTTTGTAAATGGGAATCTGTGGCAATGCCTCTTTCCCCAAGAGATGGGGAAACCATCCTGAAATTTCTCTCTTTTTTTTAAATATGGCTGAATTTGCCATCATTTTATCATAATGAACTTAGGTATAGACATAAACTATTAGGGACACATCTTATTGGTCCTACCTATACTAATAATGAAGCACTCAAACAAGAAGGAATCATTTCAGACATCAGACATCACATAGGCAGTTAAACTTTGCCCTCTTTTTTGAAAAAGAATTTCAAACATCTAATATGTACTGCTTTTTTACAAAATCAGATAGCTGAAATATAACTGCTTTTCAGAATGACTGGCTCTGCCTTTTATCCTGTTAACAATAAATATAGGTGACTATTTTAGAGCCGATGAATTTGCAGATCAGTCTCCTGGGAACCTCAGTTCTTCATCCCTCAGGAGAAAGCTGTTTTTAGATGGCAACGGAAGTATCTCCGACTCCTTACCTCCAGCTTCTCCCAGAAGTCCTTGTCATGGTGCTCAAGCATCACTTGAGGTTTTTTATTCGATAGACTTATCTCCTGTGCAGTGTCGAAGCCCTGTGCAGACACCAAGTTCGGTAAGAAGTATACTGACGGTGGCTGGTTGGTTTGCTCTGGGGGTTTTGGACCTAGGTGTTCCTGTTGCACTCAAGG